ACTGTAAGTATGCTTGTAGCCTATCAATCATCTGTACCGAGACGACCTATTAGTGGAATAAGAAAGTACACCAATGGAAGATGAAAATCGAGCAATGCTATGTTACTGTTAGTATGCTTGTAGCCTATCAATCATCTGTACCGAGACGACCTTTTAGTGGAATTAGAAAGTAAACCAATGGAAGAAGAACATCGAGCAATGCTACGTTACTGTTAGTATGCTTGTAGCTTATCAATCATCTGTACCGAGACGACCTATAAGTGGAATAAGAAAGTACACCAATGGAAGATGAACATCGAGTAATGCTACGTTACTGTAAGTATGCTTGTAGCCTATCAATCATCTGTACCGAGACGACCTATAAGTGGAATAAGAAAGTACACCAATGGAAGATGAACATCGAGTAATGCTACGTTACTGTTAGTATGCTTGTAGCCTATCAATCATCTGTACCGAGACGACCTATAAGTGGAATAAAAAAGAAAGTACACCAATGGAAGATGAACATCGAGTAATGCTACGTTACTGTTAGTATGCTTGTAGCCTATCAATCATCTGTACCGAGACGACCTATAAGTGGAATAAGAAAGTAAACCAATGGAAGATGAACATCGAGTAATGCTACGTTACTGTTAGTATGCTTGTAGCCTATCAATCATCTGTACCGAGACGACCTATAAGTGGAATAAGAAAGTACACCAATGGAAGATGAACATCGAGTAATGCTACGTTACTGTTAGTATGCTTGTAGCCTATCAATCATCTGTACCGAGACGACCTATAAGTGGAATAAGAAAGTACACCAATGGAAGATGAACATCGAGTAATACTACGTTACTGTTAGTATGCTTGTAGCTTGCTACTGAGCTTGTTACGTGTGGCCTCGTACAGTCGAATCTCTTAAAGTGGACAACGGATAACTAGAACTAATGGAGAAGTTGATTCATTTGCTCGCTCACTTGGCGCCCTTCATTATTTTGAAGAGGATAACTGGTATCGTGTATAGTGGATAACTGGTATCGTGTATAATTAGATTCACATGTCCTATGAACAATCATGCTAACGATGCCTTAACAATATCGCGGGGTTTTGTTTCTGTCCAGACATGCCGATATGTTCAGACAATATACATACTACAGATTACGGACTACACACTGCAGATTACAGTCGCGAAGCTGTGAACTACTGGCATTATGGGTAATCAGAGATATCAAATAGGTGTGTTATTATTTAGGCACAACAAACAATTACATTGATAAAATACATTTGCTATATTCCCTACGAGGTCAGATTAGATCAGCCTCTGTTATTTCTATTGGTTTACGGATATTCTTTTTACATTTGATGATTAGTATTTTGGGGAAATATAAAGGATTTTTCAGATTTCACTTAAAGACGTTTTAAATATAAACATGAAGTCGTGTGGGTATTATGGTTGTAAGTGCCGCATACACGATTGATTTTGTTTTCATAGTTTTAATACTTAAGGGTCGCCGGATCCGTAACTCACAAAAGACTTTATGTCATGGCGAGAACTTATCAAAATAATGCAAGTTCATTTACTTACAACACTAAAACATCAAACATAGAACTTTTGCGTTAAAACCAAAATTGTATATTTGTTGAAGTCATTTCCTGAGGTATTACCTTATCAACCGAACGAGTATGAGTAATATACACGCAAAGTAAAACGATTGAATAAAACAATACTTTTCCAGTAAAACAGACAGCACTAATCGACTTCTATAATACCTTGTGGACATATCCAAACGAGCTGTGATACTTTTAGCACTTAACGGTAATATAACATGCATCTATCCAGATAAGCCTCCAAATGGCGTGTCCCAAGTATTCTGTTCAACGTCTGAATTAGGATGCTCATCACTTAAACTTGTCAGTGTTTAACGAGACTGGACAAATTTAAACATATGGGTCAAAAATCGAACACACAGAAGCCGGGTTTGCAAGTACAGTTAAAATGAGCCTGCCGAATCCCAGCTATGACTTTGGTATTAGCCTTTATTTCACATGAAAGCTCCTCTCTTCGACCGCGATCCGGGTAATTACGCTACGAGTCCAAACGGCGGACCCGGATTAAGACGCGGCCTTTACCGGGCAAATAACAGCCGCCGATAAGGCAATCTCTGTTATGATAATGTCTATTGAACTGCCACATCTCTGCATTACAATGATAATGACCAGGCAACAGAACCTTATCCAAACGTTGATGCAAGAACCAGAGATCTCCAATTGGTTGTTTTCGGAAATTAGACTAAAGTCATACGACGTGTTCCTGTCCGGATTTTAGGATTGCGGTATGGGTTACATGGTGTTGCCGAGGCTACTGAATGCGGCCCAGCAGGAGGAAAGGTTCCAGTGGAACATCAACGAGCTGAACTCTTGATATGGGTTGTTAGGTCAATGGATATTTCATCGAGAAACAATGAAAATTCATAAACGTGTTTTGATTGGATGGATTATGTTACAGATATTAGACATATCTGAGCAAAGATAAGCTTGCTTCTGTATAATCAAGCAGCATGTGTCTATTTCTGATATCTTTAGGGCCAAAAAGTCGACGTCCTTGACAAATGATGAAGGACATTTCGGAGGAAGGAAACGTCACTGTGATGACCTGGTAGAGTAATTTGACAAGTGTCAAATATAGATTCTCGGATCGAATACAATACCACTGATACTAGTAACTCATAAATTAACAAGCATCGACAAGCGTACAATACATGTATTAATTTAATAATGTAATTTCAATTTAGGTATCATGAATTCAAGTAACAAAATATGAAAATCGATCAGTCAAATTTATTACCCACGAATATAATATGGGAATGTCAGGAATAACTAATAAGCCTCGATAAGTCATAAATATCAGGCTTGAAGTAATAGGTTAAGTCAAACAATAAAGAATAAAAAAAACACCTTAGGTACAGTGCAGAGATTATTATACGCGGTCATATTGTTACGAACACTCTTTCGTTATGTTCACTAATATGTTAGAAACATTTTATCCTTTGGCTTACAAGTTTGCATTGTTATCTTGAAACTTACCATCACAAGACATTGATAAAACAAAGTTGCGAATGTATGGTTGAAGTTTCAATGAAGGCTTAAGTCACATCTGGTATCCGACAAAAGTATTTTTCATTTGGTTGTTACGTTTCACGAGTAAACCATGCGGTAGAAACATCTTCAGAAATTGAAAATTCATTCAAAAATGTTTTATGTACTTGAACAGAAATATAACCATGATTCCTCTGAACCAATACTGATTTGTCATATGGATACGCGTAAGTAACTCGAACTCCGCCCAACGTGTTAACAGCGAGTCCAGTTCTTCATGGCTCCTCTGTAAGTCGGTCAATCCAAATGATTGTGCCGGAAATTGATCAGTAACTCAACGTATTCAACACAGAAGCAAAACTGACACACAGAGGCCAGATGATACAGATATCTCCATTTGGATTGACTCGGGCCCATACAAGGGTGCATACCTACCCATCTGTTCTTCAGAGAATACTATTAATGTTAAAACGTGTAATAATTAAGACAATAGCAATTCTCTTATTCATGTTTGGTTTACAAACGCAAATTGTTTCCCCAATTAATTATTTGCATTTGCCTAACCGTTATGTATATTCTGTTTTAAATGCACCTGCCTTTTAAAACAAACTGTGTGCATCCCCATTTCAAAACAGCTGTATGCGAGCTTGTACGTGTACTAGATTTTTACAGTTTTTAACAGAAGTTCATATACCTGTTTTAACGTCATAGTACTGGGAATATTGGCATGGCAATCAATGAAAAACATGACTTATGTTGATACCAAGTGTATGTTAAAAATCTGTGCCCCCTTTTACAAAGTACTGTGGAGTTCGATTTGTGAAAGTGGTAGTGATTACTTTGCTTTGTGAAATGGGGCCCAATGTCATAAACCTTTACAAGGGTTTCTCTGTACAATATACATGATAATTGGTCTGGGATTGATATTGCTCTAATACACTGTTATCTAATAATCGAGGAGTCCTTTCCACGACTCAGTAACTTAAGAGCCCCTATTGCATCTACTTAGACAATCATAACACATGTTTCCACGGGACAATAAAGTTTTCATACAAAATGGCCCAACCTATAGATGGAGTTCCGTTATTTCTAAGTGCGTGAGTGAGTGGTTTTATGCCGCTTTTAGCAATATTCCAGCAATATCACGGCGGGGGACACCAGAAATGGGCTTCACACATTGTACCCATGTCGGGAGTCGAACCCGGGTCTTCTGTGTGACTACCCGACCGCCCCTAAACCCAAGTACCATCCAAAGTTTGGTTCGATACTGCTGATGGCATCATTTATACTGTCCCTGACTATATAGTGATAATTTATCAAATGCAGTCCATAACAACCCACCAAATCCAAAACAATCCAAAACAATCCAATATGGTCCACAACTCAGATCAATCTAAAACAACCAAAGTTAATTCTAAACACCCAACATCAATCCAATAACTTCCCAAGCAACAAAAAAACAACCCAAAACAATCCAATGCATTTAATGCATTTAAAATATAAAAGGTCAACGCCAGAGAATAATCAGACTCGATTATGTGACTATACCGTCAGCACACGCCACTCACACAATTTGCATAAATAATAAACAAAAATAAGTGTTTGTTTCGACCTTTTGAAATATGCCTTAATGGAACGTCATTTGATTTGTGTCAATCGGACATTTGGACATTGGGAATCATTCTAAAAATAAATAGTCCGAAAAAGCGTTCATTCGATGTCCTTTCAAATCCGGTGGTTCTCTTCTTGTGCTTATAACTGTATTCTTGAAACAATCATTTACATGTAAAATACAATTGCATGTAAGAAAGATATAAGGATCTAGAGGAGGTTGACTTTTCTACTATTCATATGTGATCATCGAATCCCCCATTCTGAGCAGAATATACAAATCGGATTCATGTGGACTGAAGGGGACCTACCTTTGAAACAAGGACATATCCTCTTCCACACAGTGAGACAGCCACACCTCTGGAACTGTCCCAGGGCCAACTCCATGTAGAACAGAGGTAGACCGCCAAATATCAGCATCACAATGTACGGGATAAGAAAGGCACCTGCACAGAACAGTGTTACTATTAGTGAATTTAATTTGCATATAAGACACCAAATATGTATAAAGTTACCTGCATTCATACGACAGATATGTCAACCATCGCTGTCTTCAATGGACTGCAAAAAATAGTTTCAGTAAATGAATCTATATAGGTTTATGAACACGTGTTTAAAGTCTATCGTCCGTAATGTATAGTACATGTAGTTCAGTGTGTATAGTGTTAGTGAATATATTTGACCAACAAATGTCATATATGACATTTTTTATCAGAGTAAAACATCGGTTATGTTGATCTGAATACAAATAACACGAAATACGCCTTTCCATAATCATAACAAATCTCTGTTAAAAGAAGAGTCCATTGTACGACTGTATCATAATGGTGATTATATATACTAGTTGCTCGCGAAAGGATGAGAGTATCTTCCCCAACAGGTTTCTTTGTCTATAGTGTTTGGACCCCACAGGACGGTTAAACTGCTAAAATCATTGTCAGTTCATGAATATTGTCAAATATCTTAAATTGTATCAACAGCTCAATAAAGAATTCGTTCACTGATATTACTTACATTTTATAACAGAGAGGTTCATTTGTAGTTATTCAAATAAAATAATTTCGATAATTTGTTTGCAGTGATTACCTTCATAATTGATATTCAGAATAATATTAAAACATAGTACCGGTCAAAAAAATAATTGTTACTGTAAAATGTATGTGAATATATAAATTATTCAATTAATCAAGCAAAAGTAGTCATCATTGAATTCAAAGATTTAATCAAATAACCAAAGATTTGTTTTGACAGATGATATCGATTTTTAATACGGAATTCTATTTTTCATCATATTAATTATCAAATACTATTTCGTACAAATAATGTAGGACAATTTTATTACTGTAAATCCAAGGTAATATTAATCTGAATAAAAACATACTACCATACACGTGTTCTACCTGGTCACGTATCGGTTTTGCTCGTGTTCCTCCGAAGTATACAGGAACAGAATTTTAAATGTTATCGTAACGGACATTACACGTTGTTCCATGGTCTGTCATACAGACCCTGGAACAGATATATCCAATAAAGCCCCTGCAAGTCTATACTAGTGGACGAGTCTAGATCACTGCAGTCTCTGAAAATGAAGAGCTAACAACTGGGTTTTTTTTCTTCTGTAGGATATGTTCATTGCAGAGATTAGATGTTAGTCTAGTTGCTCCACTCGGTGTGTCTGTGACAGAAGAGACATATTTGTAGCATCTATTGTCTACTATTGAAGCGTGAAGTATCGATTTATTAGATGTGCTCCAGATAGAGACCTATGTATAACCACTTATCTTTTCCTTGTCTGGGGTTATATATCTTTCTGAAAACAATCTAAAGTGAGTGTATACAGATCATAAATGCAATCAGAATAGCCAACCCTCCTGTTAAATGTTAAATTGCTTGTTTCACGTAAATACAATTGACAAGCAATTTTGATGACACCTGGGGAATGTGGGATACCATTGCCTGCCATCAACTAATGCTGGTCGTATGAGGCGACTAGATGAATAGGGTGGTCGGCTCGGTAGCGTACACGTGGTTTATTGCGTGTCATCATACCCCGATGGCTTTGGTCGTTGCTCATAATATCAATCACTGGTTTGTTTGGTCCAGAATCCATTATTTATAGGCCACCGTCATATGATTGGAATATTGCTGAGTGTGACGTCCAACAACGAATAAACAAATACTGTTCACATAAGAAAAGGGTATGTCTTTTCAAGATTCGGCAAAAATACCACACCTAGTTTTAATTAGTTCATAATATTCACTTCATATCGTGTACCTTCTACGAGTAATGTAATCGCAAAAAAACAATGAAACTTTGTTCTAAACCTCAACACTTCAGACAGCTAACCTGATGATCACAAGAAAGTATGCATTATAAGAATGTGAATAGGTTTTCATACCTTGGAACTGAATTTAGGCTTGAAACGATTTCCCAAACAGACTCAACATCATCTGACTGTTAGAAGTTTAGGTTTAGATTTTTTCCGATATTATGAGATGACAATGAATAGAGGGTACAAAAAACAAGCGATTTTATCCTATAAAACAACAGCTCATAAAAAGCTCATAAAAGCACTCTAGAAAAAGCACGTTAAAGGCAATGATCGGGGCTTAGACCAACATTTAGTCTCAGGAATATTTAAACATATATAGCTACAAATAAAAATAATAAAATCCAAAGAGCCTCGAGCAATGGTTAATTTGAGAGCTGATGCAATCTAGACTTGCCAAATCATTCTAGACTTGAGTTGGATTCTTTTCTTAATATAATTTCAAGGGTCTTGTATTATATCAGGTCCATATTGCATGAATGTTGGGTTGCAGACTACTGTCAGACTACTTCAGCGATACCGCCAGACTGGGCACACAAGGGTCAGACCATGAAACTGTAAACTGCGTGTGACCACCCCACATAAGGACCACCATCTTCACACTTTCCATCTGCGTAGCAGCTTCCTGACCGTGACGTCATCGGCGTTGACAGCGTTGACATTAGAATAGTGTCTAGAAGATTACAGACATACAGACTACGTGTTGCATGAATCCTCCACTCAAAATAGTGGAATGGCCTTGACCCGTCAACATTGGTGAAATAGACGTCAGTGGCAGCGACGTGATTGGTCAAGGTTACACTCCCTATAGCGGAATGGCCTTGACCCGTCAACATTGGCGAAAAAGACGTCAGTGGCCGCCATGTGATTGGTCAAGGTTACTGTTTGGTGCCAAGAGCAGGTTCAACTTGTCCAATCCTAAAATTCGGATGCGGGTGTATCGACGAAGAGGTGAACGAATGCTCTGCGATGCATCCAGTAGGTTCAATCGTTTTAGGCGCCGACGTCATAGTGCGAGGCAGGTTTTTCGTGGAAGGAAGACACGTCTTGAAGGCCAACGTTACAGGGATGTCATTCTGCAGCCAGTTGTCGTTGCCTTTCTCAGAAGACAGCCAAAAGGACAATGCTAGATACCATAATGCTAGAATAATCAAGGGCTTTCTCAACCCGTACCAGTGTTGCCCTTGCCGTTACGCTCAGCCCATCTATTTCTTTGGGGTTATCATGGGCGACAAATACGACAACTTCTAATCCTGCCGAACGACAACAGCAACAACCTTTATTCACTCAAGGTGATCACAAGCTGTGGTACATGAACAATACAATTCATTAAAATTATATGATGACAAGATGACATGTACATAAACACAATGACTGAGTTAATTCTTTTTGGACAAACTGTAACGTTGTAGGGAATATGTTTCGGACAAACCTTTAACTCTGCAGTTGATACAAATAGTGTTACATTGTTTCAGACAATGTTATGCAACAGCCGTAAGTGACCTAGTAGGTCATCATTTCACATTTTTCTTAAAGTAATAAGGACCAATGTGTTATTTATTTTTGCGGACAAGTATAATCTAGCAATTGCTGAAGTACAATAAAGACAATGGATCTATCTTCCATCAAAATGACTATTCAGGAATACGATGAACTTCGATTATTTCTTGATAACAGATATGCGTTTGGTGTTCATTAATTTAGCAAACTTAAAGATAATTGGTCACATTTTCAGCGGGCGTCATGTCCAGGTATGTCTGGATGCCCGATGAGGTCACACACGGTATTGATACCAAGTCTTTGGAAAGCATTTAGAAGTGATACACATAAGGAAGAGAATTTATGGATGTCAACATCTTTATTATGAGGACCACAACGTTCTGAGTGTATGCTTACTCCTTCATCAGGTAAATTCAACGTTTCGGAGCACATGCTTTCTCCTTCATCAGATGAATTCACCTGATAAAGGAGTAACCATACACTCCGAAACGTTGTATTCCTTATAATAAAGAAGTTGACATCCATAAATTCTCTTCCTGATATTGATACCATGACCGATATGATATGGAACCTTCATCGTTTTGTTATGAAAAAATAACTGTTATGACCCCAGGTGTGTTTGATTGTTTTTTGGTAATTCATACCAAGTGCCCTGACATTGTCTTTGCCTGGTTGTACTATAAATGATTGAACTTCACAATTCATTTTAATAAACGTGTACCTTTAAACAATTGTTTTCACAAGCCCCAAACCACTTTCCAATTACTCTAATTCAAAACGTCGATCAATGCCAGAAAATAATCTTCCATTATCTACCGAAACAGATTCCATAGAACGTAAAGTTAAATGCAGTAGTTTAGTGTAGTGGTGAAAAATATGTGAGTGGGAGACTGCCATCAATTATGATACCAGGTGATACTCGAAAAGGGTAAGCATGTTTGCTCTACCGTTAGCACTCGCCACTCGCATAATTTACATTACAAAACTGCGAGTAATGTTAGTCCTTTTATGCTACCTTATTTTAGCTAGACACTATTGCGAATATTACAAGATAGGGAAGCATACGAAAGACACTCATTTCGGGAACACGAATGACCATGTCAGAGCGACACTGTCCAAAACGATTTATGGAACAACTTAACATAAGTGAACCAAAGTGCACAACTATATTGCTAGTTTCGTCAACATCTTGACATTATTCAAGCGGAAGCTATAAATTAATCCTGTTGGCAATTCAACACGCCATCGTCCCTTTATGTTATATATAACAACCATGAACGAGGTTATCCCGGAAGTGCATGTGAAAGGTTCGTCCCATTCAAATCTCGTTGGAACGAAATTTAGCGTATGGTATAAATTATGTCTTCTTTGACTCAAGACGTTTACGCGGAAATATATGTCGAAATAACATGGAACTATTTTATATCATATTTATACATACATTTTGAAGTACGTTTTTTGAAATATATTTTACATTTTCATCATCTCTACACGACATTATAGTTTCTGATTGCGTTTGGTTAGAACTTAAATCTTAACTTAGGATGGTGTAGTAGACGACTTCGATTATCCTCACCCTTAATATCCAAAAATACTTTTTTCCTTTAAAGTAAAGT